ATCTGCCTCACCCGGGAAGAGTGCAATGATAATACCAACATGGGCCAGTGAAGCAACGTCCTCCACAACTAGACTGAAGAACAAAAAGACAGCAATTTGTCTGTTCCCCTTCCTGGATTCCACAACGCTGTTCCCCTCCCCAAATTCCCCAATAAAATCTTAAAAAAAAAAAAAAGAAATATATCCGCAGACAAAAATAAAAAAGTAAATAGCAAATTACCGTATTTCCCCATGTATAAGACACACGCTTTATTGAAAAATTTGGGGTCTAAAAACTGGGTGCGTCTTATACAGTGGTTGTAGGTTTTTTACTTGCATTTCCCGCAAGTGATGAGGAGTTGTATGAATTTTATGATGAATAAAACTTGAGTTCAATAACTTTATGGAACACATTTTTTTCCAATTTCGGGTCCCAAAATTAAGGTGCGTCTTATACATGGGGAAATACAGTACACAACCTTTACAACACTTTTGAACATTCATTACTAAACCAACTAGTGAAGAGATGATGTTTTTCTCCTTATGTATTAACCTCCATATTCAACAACACCTAGCAAATAATAGGAAACCAGTAAACATCTGCCCATCAACCAATAAAAATTTCATTTTAATGAAGGCACACTTGATATTTGCCAAAAGGATGGTTTACTCTTTCATAAACACTGAAACAGTGAAAAAGGTGCCTTTTCAAACAATTAATAAAATGCTACATCAACCCAATGTTGCCCTCTGGAGACAAATCTACACTCTGTAAGTAAGCTATCCAACCTGCTTACAACCTGGCCCGGGTCTAGTCTTCCAGGTTCATCTCCTACCTCTGCCCTGTGAGTCTTACACGCTGGCCACAGCAAACTCGGCCTCTTCTGTGAACTCACAAGGCCTAGAGAAGCCTTCACCCACTTCTCTCACTGCACACTCCTACTCATCTTCCAAAACCAGTCACCACTTCTGTGACGCTTCCAGGGAGAATTAATCCTTGCCTGTGCCTCTCACAGCACTATGTTCCCACCTCTATTACCTAACGAAACCTTGAACAACGTGGGAGTTAGGGGCACTGAGACTCCCCACCCCTGTAGTCAAAAATCTGCATATAGCTTTGGACTCTTCATATATTATAACTATCAGTTCCTTCCAGAAATAAAGGTACCTAAAGATTAAAGCTCATTCATTTTGATAGTCCTACCAATACTTATCACTGTACCATGTACACAAAAACAAAATCACTGTTGAACGCAAAAAACAGTAAACAAAATAACAAACATCATTCAAGTGTTCTCTAATATAACCTGGTAATGTATGTGTATGTGAGCACACACAATCACAATGAACCCATAAACCAAATAGATTAAATAGTGATTATGGCTCTACAAAAGGATTCTTCATTTTTTATCAAATACTTGTAAAAAGGTCCCCTTTAAAAATGAACTGTTAGTGAGTGTAAAATTATCCAACTTAGAAGATTTTTTTTTTTTTTAATAGCTGAGCCATCCTGCCACCTGTTGGCAGCTCAGCAGCTGCTCAGCTCGGGCTGACTCGAACCGCTGTTGCTCAGAGCTCAAACTCTTGAGCGAGCTCTTAACCAACTGAGCCACTCAGCCGGCCCCTTAGAAGATTTTTTATATGACCTTTTCAGAACCACTTTATTATAAAGCTATATATATTTTTGATTAGCAATAAGACCACCATGAAATCCAAGTAAGATAGCCAAAAATTCAAATTTAGAAAAGCAGCCATTAGTACTTAAATATCAAAATCATCCAACAACCCTTGGACTTTGACTTCAGATCTGTGTGTTTTCTAAAGCGAGTGCTTTTTTTCTTTCCTCTAGTGTCTGTGTTTTAGTCTAGCTTTGGTGCAAGTCACTGCAAAATGTTTCATCTAATCATTTCCTAACCAAATCACTTGTCGAAGGTTTAAAGAATATCATGCAACAGTTAAAATTTAGGAAGTTTTGTTATTATCAGTTATGTCAGAATGTGATACATGTTCTAAAAATTTCAGTACAACAGGGCACAGATCTGACTACCTGTTTAGTCTCTGTCAAATTAAATGTAAACTGTATACAGAAACTGGGAATAAATGAATTTAAAATTTTAAGATTAATCTCTCTTCATTTGAGTATTAACAATATTAATAGCCGCCATTTACTGACAGCCTACTATTTGCCAGAGATTTCATGTAAATTCTCCCGATCCATCCAAAAACTGGGCCTCAGAGGTTAAACGTCTAACCAAGGCCACACAAGTAACAAGAAATGGGATTCAAATACAGGTCTATGTGGTTCCAAAGGTTAAACCTAAATTCACTCCTATTCTAACAATGTGTAATACTGGACCATTAAAACAAATTTCTACAAGTCTTTGTGGTTTTGTTTTTGTTTTTGTTTTTAAGATTTTATTGGGGAATTGGGCAAGGGGAACAGTGTTGGGGAATTGGGGAAGAGAAACAGCAAAGTTGTCCTTCAATCTTAGTTGTGGAGGGCGCAGGTAGCTCAGCTCCAAGTGCAGTCGCTATCCAGCCACCCACTGGCAGCTCAGCTCACGGTGCCATGTTCAATCTTAGTTGCAGGTGGGCGTAGCCCACCATTCCATGCAGAAGTCGAACCAGCAACCTTGTTGTTAGGAGCATGTGCTCTCACCAGCTGAGCCATACTGCCACCTGTTGGCAGCTCAGCAGCAACTCAGCTCAGGCTGCAGCTCACTGGCCCATGTGGGAATCAAACCAGCAACTCTGTTGCTCAGAGCTCACGCTCTTAACCAACTGAGCCACTCAGCCAGCCCCATTTCTCTGCTTTTTTGAACTGTGAAAGCATAAACGGTCTAATGTATATCTATCTGTCTCTTATTATCTTCCTAGCAATGCAATAATTCTTTGAAGCATTACTAAGCCACTACACCTGACGTCTATGCTTTGTGAAGTCTATGTTTCTTGACGTCTACTTTGACACTTCTATAGTTAAAACTGTTTTGAAGAGCACACAACAGTGACTTCCTTATACTGAGCACCTTTTCAGAGATGTTTCAGTACTGTGTGCTACAGAAAACTACTAACTACTTTCCTCTCAACACTCCACAGAAAGGTTGAAAAGCTAAGAAGTTAAGGAAAGCTTAACTTTTACCTATTAAAGGCTCTGAAACTAGCGTAAAAAATAAAGGAATGGTTTTAAAAGGGGCTCTCTAAATATATGATTAAATACCAGGGGTAACGTCAATTTCAAGTATGAATTTCATGCTGGTGAAGCAAAAAAATAATTTCAATGATCAATAAAAACTCTGTTCTACCAGCCCAGCAACATTTAGTGGCTCATCTGCCATTGAAGCTTCTTTACCGATGACACTTGTTTAGAAAGAATCAAGAGCCAAATTTAATATACGAATTCTTTAATTATGTCTGTTTAGAGCAGAATTATGTGGCTACTCACTCTGACATCAAAGTAATTAACATTAGAGATCAAAGGCTTTTTGTGTGAATCTAGAATACAAGCTTGTTTGGATTCTATGTCATGGAACCACAAAAAGAATCCAGTAAGTCAACTGTCACTGAATTTATTTATGCCTGTCATTTCCTTCGGGGTAAATTCATTTTACAGGCTGTTGGCAAAATAAGAGTCTCAAAACTGGCTTTTATTGTAAGCAGCAGCCATAGAGCTGTAGCTAATTCAGCCATGTTGCTGGTTCAAAAGGGAACTTAATTACCTTAAGCCAAAGGCATTTATAAAATCAATTGACAGGAAAGAGAGATTAACTGCTACCATGATGTTGCTCCTGAAGCCAGGAACTAGAAAATCCGGATGAATTTTGATAATTAGAATACTTCAAAAGAAGAGAAGAGCTACCTGCTACTTTTTGTTCTTTACTAGCCTTGTGACCAAGTTTTATTTTCTTTGATCTTCCACTTGTGCAACACTGTTTTATTAATATCAATGAAATGATGTGAGCATTATACAGAATGGCTGCATGTGTTCACTGAATTACAATATGTCATAGACAGGAGGTTCCAAAGGCTACCTAATGAATGCAACTACTACCTTTTACATATCCCCAACTCAGTAGCCAACGGAACATTTTCTACCTATTAAAGTAGGCTACTCCATCTTTAGATGGCTCTTAGAAAGTTGTTACTCAGTGAATTGAAGTTCGTCTCATTATTGCTTCTACTTTGTTGTATCCCTAAAAGTCATTAAAAGCAAATCTCACCCCTTTTTCATATGAAGCCCTTTGAACATCTAAAGAGAGTGACTTTCCATTCCTTCAAATGCTCTTAATATGAAATGCTATTGAGACCCATGTCTATGTTGGACAAACTGCTAATCTGTATGCATATTTAAAATGATTCTGATTTTTTAAAAAATATTTAAAACTGAGTTACCTAAATATGTTACCAGCTTTAAAATCAGATGAGTTGATGCTCAAGTGTAGCAAACTCTTCCTTATAAATGTGTATGCTTATACTACAACTCAATAAATTCAGACAGAAGACTATTTTTAATACTATTTAAATAATTAATTGTCCTAATTGTCTCTAAAGTGTACCAGTGAAATGTACCCATGAAAGGCTATGTGTTAACTAAAAATTTTAATAAAACTGTAGAATACCTTTCTATAAAGTTCTGGAGCTTTGTTCTGCAGTTTATTTGAATAACAGGATGAATTATAAATTCTCAAGTTATACAGATGATTATTCTTGCATAACTTTGACAATTTTCAGCCAAAGTCAAACAAACAAAAAAAGTTTAAAATTCTGAATTTTCCAACCAAAGTCAGAAACTCTGAATTTTAGACATTTTAGTCATGTGATTTCTGTACAGTCCTAAAATGGGCTGCATAATCTATTTCAAGATCATTATTTTAAATGTCAGTAGAAGCTATCTATAACATTTCACACATCCTTAGTGTACCTAATGGTTCATTAAATATGAGATTGAGTGCTGTTTTTAAAGGTTAAAACATCATCTGAATTACACTGACAAAATAATTAAACATTCACACACAGTCACTTACCCAAGACTCATGGTATAAAACTGTTAGCAGATACATTGCATAATCATAATTCTGTCTCTTTAAAGGACACCTTCAAAAAAGAGAGAAAGTCAAAATTCTAAAAATTCAGTACATAGAATTATTTTACAAAATATACAAACATTAAATACACAGAATAACTAATATTCAGGTATTTCCCATCTGCTTTAGGAAAATTCTGCTTATAATAAGAATAGTTCACTACTTAAAGATATTGAAAACTTTTTATTTTCATTTAGAGTAGAATCTCTTTGCTTTCACAATTAATGGAGTTATTTGTATCTGATAATAGCTTTCTGCTATTTTTAATATGATTGTGTCCAGTCCAAGTGCCCTTCACATTCTCTGGGCGAAGAGCCTGCTGGACAGTGTGATCATATTTGTTGAGTTCATTTTAAAAGTAGAGACAGACCAATTATAGATACTAATCTAAATGTTTACCTTCATTTGCCCAGAGCCAATTCTTTTAAAAATGAGCTACTCTATATAGTGATGTATTGCTGCTGTTGTATTTAAAATAGACCTAATGACCTAATGTTAGGTAAAACTTGTACATAAATATGAGATGGTATGTTTAGTTTTCATGTTAATAAAATAATATAGAAAAGGAAGCAATTACTTCTAATTCCTTTAAGTATAAAATAAAACCATCATATAACAAATGACTTTAACTGTATTCTGTTTATTCTATACTTAGGTTTAATAGTTCTCTACTTTAAATAGTTGTTATCATAAAACATAGCACACACTGACACTTGTAAATGTAGAAAAAACAGCAACATAATCAGATATTTAGAGAATTCTAAACAACATTTTAAAGATATTTTTTAAGTTGCACAAACTAAAAACACAACATTTTTTCACATTTTCTAAAGATAGCAAAAATAGTATTACTAATATTTTTCAAATATACTTTTCCCTCAAACAGTAATAATCTGAAATCGTGGTCCCAAGCTTTTCCCATCTCCACACTGTTGCCCTCTTGAGTATCATGCTCCTTCTTCTGACCACTAAGCAGGATTCAAAACCTAACTGATATAGACACCTCCAAATTGTCCAAAACTGTGACAGGGAGGGAGAGAGGATATCTGCCCACTTGCTTTTCTCCAAAGGCAGGTCTGCTACATTTTCACATAATTTGAAAACAACCAAAGATTAATTCTAGAAGTAAAATAGTCATTTAGTAAAAACATACCAATAACCTTTCTTTACTTCAAATGATCTACTTTATAAATTCACATGAGATAATTTTAATACTGTTTTTATGAACTTCTGTGCTAGCACCGAAATTCTTATATAAAAGTACCTCAGTAACATTAAATTTCCATATTTAATCATTTTAATTGAGAACTCTAAGATTTTTATAAACTTTGGTTTTGTGAAAACCTGTTTAAGCATTAATACCTAGCAAATCATACTTCTGCTTTCTTCTAACATCTTCCCTGGGTTTTACATACATGGATAATGTTAAAATCAAAGTTAAAAATCACAATAATTTAAGTCAAGGCAAGCCTCTTCATGTATATAAAGATCAGAGCAATAGCAGGCTAGTGTAAGGATATGAAACTATAAATTAGACAACTTCTTTGACCGAATAAGTTAATGTAAGCTGATATAAATTCCTAAAAAGGACTGCCAGGGGATTGGAGGACAATAAAGCAACATATATGACCAATCTGCTGAACTTTTTTCTCTTTACCTATCTGTCTTGATGGTAAGCACATCTGTGGTCTTGCAGTATCGTTCTCCTACAAGTTTAATAAGTTTCTTCTTTGCATGATCATCTAAATTCAAGCTGGAAAGTTTAACCTTAAAAATGGAAGAAAAAATATTTGAAAAAAAATATTTTATAGACTTCATTTAATGAAAAAACAGTAGTAATATTACTTAAATTAACATTAAAATGAGCAAAAGGAAACCTTTTCAAACTCGTTTCTATACAGAGTTAGCAACTGGCATGCATGATGAAGCCTAATCTTACTCATGGAAAAAATAAAAGGAGGGAGCAAACTGTTTGGAGTTCTTTGAACGTTCTGGGCATTAGTATCTTTCCTGAAAGAATCAATGACATGTCTCTTAAATAAATGAAATTAGGGTGCTTATGAGAAGCACTAATAGAATTAAACATAACTGGCATTAGGAACGCTGGAATATAGGAATAAATGGATAAAACATAAGGTCTTTAAGAAATTTCTACCATGCAGTTATGAGAACCATATCACTGTAACTAGTTTAGGGGAATTTATTTTAAAAGCTACACATCTCTCAGGGAGGCTGGAATATAGCATCGAAAGATCAAAACATTTGAAATAATTCAGCTTAACATTTCTCAAAACGTTAATTCTAGGCCCACAGGCTGCTAAGATGAATTAGTTCTTTTTTCCTTTTTTGTCAGTTAAAATATTTGAATAAAAGTGATTTATTTTATTTTTATTTTTTATTGAACAGAATTCGTTCTTTTAAAAAGGCTATTTCTGTTGAAAACATTCAGGAAATGTTGAGTTAAACTGGGTTCTTTATGGGTTTCTTTGAGGAGGTAATATGTTAATGAGCATTCTAAAATTTCAAGACGAAGTGTTATTATGTAATCATTCCCAAATTTATTTGACCTCAGATTCTACTTTTCAAGAGACAGTTCACAGAATCTGTCTTTCTTAAAGCACATTTTGGGAATGTTGGACTAAATAAACACACTTTTATTTACAAGGAATTATGGCACTGCTGAAGGTATTATTATCTAGAGATAAATAGGCTTGGAACAGGAAAATAAGCTAGACACTAGAATATAGTTAAATAAGGTAAACCACAGATTATTTTTCCATGGAGAACATTAAGAATAAGGAGTCATAACTGTATGAAGAAGGAAAAAAGGGTAAGATCTTGAAATCTCATCCATTTCTTTTGTCTAGCTTCAATAACCCTGCACTTCCCTCAAGACACCACAGCATAAGGGCTTATTTCTTTTTCCATTTTTCCCACTAGGCTACAAACTGTTGAGGGTAAGAAAGATGTCTGTCTTGTACTTGGCAATGGCTTAGAATTTAAAAAGCATACAAAACGGCCGGCAGAGTGGCGCGTTGGTTAAGAGCTGCTGGCTTGGGACACCAGCTCTGAGTAGGAAGGCCCCGGTTCGGATCCCACATGAGTGCCAGTGACACTAGCCTCTACAGCTAAGATGGTGAACAACAGCTCAACCTGGAGCTGGGCTGCTGTGAGTCGCCGGCGACGGCGTAGGCTGCAGTCCCTGCTGCAGTGGGTTGCCATGGGCTACCGTGAGTGGCCAGCAGCCAGTGTGAGCTGCCGTGAGCCACGGTCCAATGGCCAGTGACCGATCTGCCTCACCCGGGAAGAGCGCAATGATAATACCAACATAGGCCAGTGACACGACGTCCAATTAGGCTGAAGAACAAAAGAACAGCAACTTATCTGTTCCCCTTCCCCCATTCCCCAACGCTGTTCCCCTCCACCAATTCCCCAATAAAATCTTTAAAAAATAAAAATAAAAAAATAAAAATTATGCAACATGTATTTGCTGAATGAATACATAAATGAAAACAAGGGAGGATATAGTTTTTTTAAAGCACTGTGAATTTTTATTTGAATTAGAGAAAATAGAAAACAAATAAATATAAATGCACTCTTAAAAAACATAAGTAGTATTAAATATCAATCCAATGGAATGGTCATATGTTGACGACAATGTAAATTACCTCAGTCCCCTGGACAAAATATGTATCAACAACCAGGTTATCAGCTTGATCGATAAAATAAGCAATTTTATGATAACCTGATTGTTAAACAATATGGAGAATTATTTATAAGAAAATGATAAAATGTACCTACATTATGATTATACTTATGAAAATACGTGTACATATGCATACATACAGAGAAAGAAAAAATAAATTACACTAGGATAGTGAGAATGTAGAGATTTTTCCTTTTAAAATTCCCTTCAATGAAATCATGATTTTTAACAATAAATTTTAAAATTTACCATTTAAAAAAATCTGTGTTCTAGCCTTTTATGTAAGAAGCAGTAAAAAAAAAGAAATGGCAGCAATGCTGATCATTATTGCAAAAACTTTTAAAACTCATGTTTACATTAACAGTTTAATGTTCAAAAATTATATAGAGTTTATGCCAGAAACTCATATAAATTTCAGACCCAGCTGTGTGGTGCACTCACGCCATCTGTTAGTACTCAACGGCACTGCAAAACTGAAGTCTTTAACCTTGACTAATAATCTGACTTTGAAGTTTATTCACTGTCTAAGGAAGAATCCTTAGACTTTTCTGTAAGTTGCTATATTTTAAAGAATCAATATTGTACTATTAACTTTACCCCCAAAACAATATTGACATTTCACATCATAGGAGGTTGTGCATCTTCAAAATGTCCATATTTAAAAGAGCTACATAAATTGAGAGATATCTAAATGTGTGAAATATCTTCTCTATTTACAAATATAATGTAGTTAAAGAACTCTAGTATTACACATAAGAATAGGGTTTGATTTCTAGATTTGCTACTTATCAGCTAACTAACCTAAAACAAATCACTTGATCTTCCTGTGTTTCCTCATTTATAAAACAGAAAGGAGTCACACGATTTTTGTCAGAAATAAATGAAATTAAATAGAAGACAGCACTTTTAAAGTCTTATCCAAATATTAAGTTGTTTTTAATTCTGAACTACTTTTATGACTATCAAGAAAAATGTACCATCTTTCCCTGAATTTAAAAATTTAAGTATCTCTAAATAATATTTTATAATATTTGATTACCTTCATAATATTGTTTAAATCATGCCTTTAAACTACGTGACACCATTAAGGACACCACTACTGAGCCTCGACAGTCAGTGGGTAGTTAAATAAGTCCAAAAGGGCAGACATGAGTCAGGAGGAAAAGATACAAAGGAGCAATGAAGGTATCAAATGGTGGCAAAAAGAAGACCAGACAGGATCGCATGATATCGTAAGTGATATCTGGAGGCATACTTCAAATAAAGCAATGAAATTACTTTTATGTGAATAAAACAAGCAAACTTAAAACTAGAAGGGACTTTAGATGTCTAGTCTACTAGTACTGAAGATTAAGGCCCACAAAAAGTAAGGCGAAATCTTGGTTTCTTGACTGAGTTCAGAGATTTATCACATAACACAGAACTCAACAACTGTTGGTTGTTATCATTATTATTAAAAAGAAGATTTATTAGGTTCTTAAAAATGTATCAGGTATTATCTCTCCATAGGCACTTTATGTTAACCTGTCAGTAGAATGAATGATGTCAACACAGCAGAAATTTACGTCTTTTTCTTTTTTCCTTTGCTTACCTACTTTCTAAAATTCATCCAGTAAACATGTATTGTTTTCTGTGGTAGGTAATAGTAATATCTAGGTTGGTGAGGGTAAGGGAAGACAGGCTTTTCCACAATCTGCTGGTGCTGTATTTGTTACATTTCCTGCAGAAATGTACAATATATAATAAAAAAACTTTTATAGTATATATCAAAAAATTTGAAAAGATCTACATCCTTTGACCTGACAGCTCTCCTTTTAGGAAGTTATCCAAGGTATATAATTAGGAATATATGCAATTATTAATCATTAAGGATACTCATTACATTTTTCCAATAAAGAAGACTGTTAGAAAGTCTAAAGGTCCATAATATGGATAATTTTAGTATATTATGATAGATCTTATGAAATTTGTTTGTATCTCCCACTTCAGTCTCAGAAAAAGGACCATTTCAGATTGATCAACATTGCACCACCCCACGCCCCAGTCTCAAACATTGTCTTGGCACGTAACACATCTTTGTTTATATGCTTATTCCATGAAGCCATTAGAAGTAACGTTAAAGAATGTTTAATATCATTGGGAACTTTTTAATTCATATTACTAAGTGAGAAAGAGCAGATAACTAATCAAATATAGTATCATCCCATTAATATACACAAGGCTGACTGCGTATATACTAATAATGGCTATTTATGAGTAGTGGAATTATAGGCCATTTTATATTTTAAAATATTTTGTATTGTCCAAATGTTCTCTAATACATATGTATCAGTTCTGCAATACATACAAAATGCTCATTTTAAATAATGTATTATAATAATTCTCTTTTTGGTTGTTTTAAATCTCTTACCCGTAA